GTTGTTTCTGAACTCTGCAAATATGTATAAAAAATACAATGAAAATATCTAATAGATGAAATATAACAAACATATCACATAGTATCAACACACCAATGCATAAACGGCTCATCCAGTTTAATATGCTATGCATACTATAAACATTATTTATACTTGATATTTTACATTAATGGATCAAACATGCTGAGCAGTAGTTACACTTACCCTTGTGGTTTTAAGCCAAATTACATATAAAAATACTTAAGACGGTTACAGAAATACCGCCTCTACAGATTGCCATGATATAAATATAATATAAACACAATATACACAAAATATACACATAACTGACCACTGTGTGGCAATGAGCTGGTAACTATGTTAGCGTTGGCAGATCACAGGCATCGTAACATCGATTGCCATATTCTAGAAAAATTGAAACAATAAGGCCGCATAAGAAAAAGGAAATGGCCAATAAAATTAAGAACATGTAAAATGACCTTTTCATATGTATCCATTTAATCATAATCTACATACTTACATACTGCATTCACAAATGTAGTTAGATGGTATTTAAGTAGTGATTAATAGTTAAATTTGATTATAGATTTAGTTTAGATTTAACTGAAGTGTTTACCAAATTAAGAGGGAAGGTATGGAATATCTGAAGATCGAGATAACATGTATACTTATTATGAAGTAGGGGCGGTCGGGTAGCCTAGTGGTTAAAGTGTGCGCTCGTCACGCCGAAGACCCGGGTTCGATTCCCGACATGGGTACAATGTGTGAAGCCCATTTCTGGTGTCCCCCGCCGTGATATTGCTGGAATATTGCTAAAAGCGGCGTAAAACCATACTCACTCACTATTATGAAGTACTTGTTTATGTTTTAAACTATTTTCAGTTTGACATATATAGATATATATAAAATATATATAATTACCAATCAATGCATTACCTTAATGCATCTAATTCATAAAACTAAATACACAGACATATCTACAAGATACATAAATATGAACCAAACACAAACTAACCTGATAGAGATCCTGAACACAACAAATATATCATCCACTGATTTTAATCCAGTCCACAGAACTACTGATTTCCTTCAAGTGTAAGTGACCAACTAATTTAGCAAAGTCAGCAAAGAACAGAAGAAACATTTTACTTACATAATACAGAAGCTGGGAAGGAAAACAAAGCAAGACGCTTGTGCTGTTGGTGACTGTTTAGGTGAAAGTGGCTATTGTTATGTTAGTAGTTATGTAAGTACTGGAGCTAGTCTAATTGTTGTTGTTTTTATACTGCTCAAGTACTCTAGCTTGAGACAGAAACAAGCTAAAACAGAAACAAGACAATTAAAGGACTTTACTAAAATATTTACAAAATAGCAATAAAATCAACTCGGACACATATATACTTAAATGTGACATGTAAGTTATCAGAAACATTCTGACAATCTGGGTACTGTTATTGGTTGTTATATTTTTCATTGAAACCAACGTAAATAGTCAGAAATTACGATAAATACCGCTGTTGTTGTGCGTGATTTTGCGTCACTCATGATGTCACACAGGACAGCAACTTTGACAATTTCAGTTGAAAATATCAAATCATTGCAATCTATCTGTTTTTAATTCCTTATTCTTCCTACGATTCTCTTCCCATGAATATTCTGAAAATGTTGAGCAAATGCATTCAACGAATAGACTAATGGATAGCTCAAAATAGGAGAAAATGCTACAATGTGTAAAATCTGAATTTTACTTTGTTTACATTTCAAACAAATGCAGTTTTCGAGCACAGTGTTCGTTTTCACACCTAATTTTTTTTGCTTGATTTTATCTGGACACTTTGTATTTGTGACAACGACCATTGGTCATTTCACTCTAAAATGTATGAGGAATTCAAGGATGTATATAGTTTAGCTGAGTTTGAAACAGATGTGATGTTACAGGCGTCTCAAAACTCGAATGCGTAAAACGTAATTTTGTAAACACTATCCAATATGGCAGAATGTTCACTCGGCGTTCATGTTTGCATATTTCTAAAAACATTCTGAACGATTCTAGGGTTATCGTCGACGTTTTTGGAATGATCATTGGTGATTTGATAAAAGACAAGATACCTGTGATCACAAATATGCTAATTTTGAAATTCATTTCTCCGAGTCAAGATCCGAAATTTAGATTCAAAACATGCAATAAATAACGCCAAAATGGTGATTTATGGAATATGTAAAAAATGGCGACATTTACAATGTACATATACCTAATTTTCAAAGGTCACTTTCTGTAATTTTGCTTGGCCTAAAATGACAATGGATGATACCACAAAACAGAGAATTTCCCACATTATTCAAAATGTATAGTGTATCTGTGTGCGTGATGTATTTTGAATTTTATTCGACTTCAAAGTGAGGGTTGAAGAAAAGGGACAAATACGTCCCTCTGGCATCCAGGGGGTAACGCCGCACTCAGCTATATTCCAGGCAATTTCGGCAATGACGTCGGTCTGTAAACTATCGAGTCTGGACCAAAAAGTCCAATGATTAAAATTTTGAAAAACGATAGATAGCTGTAGAGGTTAAACGACAACCACCCGACCAAGTCTGAGCACCCAATCTATTTGGTTGCTTCTTGCGACCACCATAGGTTTCTGGTGACCTATTCTAACCCAGAATTGTCTCCCTTTGTCTCGTTACACTCTCGGTAACATCGCTGCCACCAGTGTGGGCGCGGCCATTACAAGAATCTTGAAAATTGCCCTCTAACCCCAAATATAATAACGTTAATACTTTTGTTTATGATTTTGGGAATGCCAATACACTTCTTTTTTTTAAAAAGGTTTACGAATAATCATATTTCTCAGATGAATTTAACTTTTTGTTTGTTTGATCAGATTGGTTCGAGATTGCAGACGAACGGAAAATCACTCAAATTTCCCATTACATTCTTACTATACCAATTACATGATATATGATAGACCCGTGAAGATTCCGGGGTAGAATAGGTCTTCAGCAACCCATACTTGCCGTAAAAGGCGACTATGCTTGTCGTAAAAGGCGACAACGGGACCGGGTGGTCAGGCTCGCTGACTTGGTTGATGCATGTCATCGATCCCAATTGCATGGATCGATGCTCATGATGTCAATCACTGGATTGTCTGGTCCAGACTCGATTATTTACAGACCGCCGTCATATAGCTGGAATATTGCTGAGTGCGGCGTTAAACAACAAACAAACAAACAATTACATGATAGCTGAAATGAAAGAGAAATTCAAATTTACAAACAAAGAAATAATTTAGTTAGGGTAAGAGTATTCGGTGTCGCAGTCATCGCTTATTTGTAAACATAACGGAACGTCGGTTGCAAGTTCAACTCCAGGCATGGTTGTGACAACCTATCACAAGTGGGGAGTTTTGACTGGTGGCAGCGATAGTATAGAGAGCTCCGCGAACGGGCTATCGCTGTGCGGAGCTTGTAAGCGTCCAGCACGTACACAAACTGTTGACGTCCCTTTTCATTGGTTCCACATTGACAAGGCAGAACAATGGCAGATGGCCATTTAAGGAGTTAATATCAGTACCTGCCGCTTGTTATTCTCTCAAAAATGTTTCCTTATAAACTGTAAATTTCTCATTTAACTAGTCAATCGAGACTGTTCGTTTCGCAAAGTGCGTGTATTCTTTCGCTTCCAACAGAGGTCTCCTAGTTTTCATGAATATTTTTTGTTTAAGTTTTGTATATAAACATATCTAAATGTATGATAAAAACTTGTTAGTGACCCTAAATGTGTTTTGATACTGTTTTTTATATTTTTTAAGATTTTGCAAACACGAAACTACTTTTTAAGTCGCAAAATGCAAGGGGTGGTGAACCGTCCCTGTGTGTTAGGTAAGGAGAATTTAAAGTTTTACATTTGTAATGAAATAATTTAATTTTCTGGAAGACACCTACACAAAAAGTATATAATAAATAGGATAATCTAGTCTGAACCAGACAATCCAGTGATTAACATCATGAACATCGATCCACGTAATTGGGATCGATGACATGCATCAACCAAGTCGGCGAGCCTGACCACCCGATCCCGTTAGTCGCCTCTTACGACAAGCATGCATAGTTGCCTTTTACAGCAAGTCTCGGTTCAAATATTTCTTTTGTTGTTGACTCAGCATAGATAAACCAGGTATCCAAGCCTAACCATGCAATCACATTGAGGCGCCTCCTACGACGAGACCCATTTCTATGTTGCATGTTCTCCCATTGTTGCAGATGGGGAAGGATAAGCAGACGTAAAGTCGTCAAACCACAGCAGACATAAGAACAGTACATAACATAGATCTTCAGCAACACATGCTTGCCGTAAAATCAATGTCACTTGACTTGAGTCTGGTTCAGACTAGATTATTTACAGACCGCCGTATTGCTGAGTGCGGCGTTAAACAACAAATCAAGCAACCAATTGCGTGGATCGATACGCATGATGACAATCACTGGATTGTCTGGTCCAGACTCGATTATTTACAGACCGCCGTCATATAGCTGGAATATTCATGAGTGTGGTGTTAAACAACAAACCAACCAACCAAACCAATCATAACTGCACCCCTCTGTGTATCAAAACGAATATATTTCTTAACGTTTCGTAATGGTACTCTCGTGTCACTGGATTTTCTGGTTCACCTATCACTTGATTGTCGGGTTTGTTTACAGGCTGTCGTCGCATGGCCGGAGTACTGCTGTGCTGCGTCAGGCAATAAATACTTGCATTTTGATGCAAATTGTATGAATGGCGCGTGTTACTGGTAGGGAAGGACACTCTTACTTTTTTCGCGAGCACCTGGTGTCATCAATGAGTGTCAGTGGTCCATTCATATATTTTCCACAGCTATTTGCCCTATATTCCCAATGGAATCTGTTTCGGCAGAAAATCTAGGCTAGTTATTCTCTCGGAGTGAAAAGGCGTGGTACTCCACCCAAGTGTGAAGTTTTATTTATACTTCATATTTCAGCGATTGGATTTGATGTCACTCTCGTTGGGAGTGGAGACGAGGCCGCAGGCCCTATACAACTGGAAATACAGGCCTCTACGAACTTGACATTAGACGTATCAACTTCTGGAACTGCAACAGCCGGTATAGACTATGTACCAGTGTCTGCTACTCTCAGTGTAATATCTAATCAACCGTTTCAGCAACAGATTTCAATAATCGATGACGATGTGAGTATCTGGATCTGTGAAAATATACCCTGTTAACCTTGTATGCCGATTTAGAGTCTACTTATATTTACTGAAACCTTTCAGCTGAATTGTATGTAATAAATAGTGCATGCCTTATATAAATAGCCTCAGTAAAGATCTTAAAACGTTTTACCGTAGACATGCGGAGGACTTTGGCGCATCAGTGACACAAAATATGTTCAAAGCAATCTATTTTAACTTGACACTTACAGTAAACTACGTTTATAACGAGGACGCTTATGACGAACTAGGGGGCACGGGTGGCCCAGTCGTCTAAGGCGCCGCAATTCGCTGTGCAGAGTTGCGTCCCTTGGGCACGCCAGAAACCTATGATTGTGGGTTCGAATCCCGGTTCGCCCCGATTACGTTTCTAGGTTTGTCAGCACCATACCCGTGCTCGTGGGTTTCACCGAAGTGGTAAACGTCTGAGACCTGCATCACTTCTGGCTTTCCTCCCACATTAAGCTGACAAGCCGTGATATAACACGAATACTGTTAAAAGCGGCGTTAAGCTCAACTCACTCACTGACTATGACGAACTAAAGGATACAACGGACTTACTTATTTTGTCGTTATTTGCTGTAGTAATGCAGTATATATGTGCTTATAAGATTACGGTTATAATGAACTAAAATTAGTGGTCCCTTTGAGTTCGTTATAACCGTAGTTTACTGTATTTATTCATGCGACCATTTGACTTAAATTTGCATGTGTTTGTGATCGGTGCCACCGGTGGAGCAGTATACGCTGACCTATTCGGCAGCACCTGGTATCACCCCCATTTGGCAGTGATGCATACACACAGTCTTATCAGATAACCGGAATCGCACAATGGACTCTGCTTTCAGCATAGATTTCTTATGAATATGGAAAGGGTTTTATTGATTGTATAAAAACGTGCCAGGACGTGTGGCTTAACTCTCGCGTGAAGCTGGCACTATTAAAACTGAACACCAACATCTCTCATTTGATCATGTTGTTGTCAGTGTATAACTGGTCTATATGTTGCCTTTGACTTATTAACTGTGTAATTTAAAGGAAAATGAGGAACCGGAGACCCTGATTATTGACCTGGCGGACCGGGCCACAGGAGACGTCACAACCGTTGAGGTGATTATCCAAGATGATGATCGTAAGTGAATATACCTTTTGCGGTCCCATCAAACTATTTGCATTGGAGGCTCCTAATCCATTCATGTTTCGATTTTCTAAACACCTACATGTAGTTACCGTTACATGGATGGCAAATATTAGATGAGGGGTCATGCCTCCTGAATTGTTTTAATCCAAAAATCAATAGATGAGGTCTATGAACATTTTTAAACAGAAATGTCAGTCTAAAGAAATAAATGAGTCATTTGCAAACACTAAAATATCGATCATCCTAATGTCAGCACCTCGGTAATAAGCCCAGAAGGACAAATGATAATGTCAGTGTCCAAACACATACTTTTATTTGTTGTCCCTATAATGGTATGGTCTATAATCTACGAAACATTTTACACATATTCATAATGATATGTAGGTTATATAATGCCACAAGGGGGATTCTGTTTTAGAATAGAACCTAAACATCCTTGTTGTAAGAGAAGGCTTATTGAGTCGGATTCAACCCATGAAGATCCGGGAAAGAATAGGTATTCAGCAACCCATGCTTGTCGTATGAGGCGACTAACGGGATCAGACTGTCACGCTCGCTGCCTTGGTTAACGCAGCATTCAGCAATATTCTAACTATGTGACGGCGGTCTGAAAAAATAATCAAGTCTGGACCAGACAGTCTAGTGAATGACACCATTAGTATCAATCTACGCAATTTGGATACGATGATATGCATCACAAAACTCAGCGAGCCTGACCACCCGATCCCGTTAGTGGCCTCTTACGACAAGCATGGCTTGTGGGAGACCTATTCTAACCTGATTTTCGCTCGCGGCGTGCTGTGTATAGATGTACCACAATGGTGTGGATTGGTTTCTATTCTGTCAATCACTGGTGTGCCAAGACCGAACCATAGACTGTATTGGTTGCAAATTCAAATTCAAATGACCATGTGGCCACATCAAGTCTTTTATGAAGTGGTTTATTCTCCCTGCAGTGTTTTACTGTACCATAAACAACGACCATATGTGGTTTATTTCTTATATGAGATATCAACATTTTGTACAGACGTTTTAATGACGTCAATAAATTGTACATGGTTTTGAAACATTTATCCCTATTTAAATAACGATGACTACCTGAATACAATCCGCAATCGGCGATGTCGGACAGGTCCATTTTATATACAAGGGGTTTCAGTGTGGTATTCTCACAATTTTCACTGGGATTATCTGCATATCGTTCGGTCATTGTGCTGCACCCTTCATGTTTTTTCTCCCTGCACCGCCTCTGTGGCCTTGTGGTAGAGCGTCCACCCGGAGAGTGGAAGGTCCGGGGTTCGAACCCCGGCCGCGTCATACCAAAAGACGTTAAAAGATGGTACTTTTTATTACCCTGTCTGGCGCTTGTCATTAAGGGGCTAAAACAAGGGCTGGTCGGCTCGGAATCATTATACTGTGTCTGAGTGGGGTATTCATGTTAAACTGCGGCATGGTATCTCAGTGAGCTAGCACTATAAATCGGCACTAGTCCGGACTAGTACAAGAAGCCACACACGTGCATGCACGTCGCTATATAAGTGCAATACTCTTCGACGCGACATTAAACCGAATTTCACTTGACCTCACCTCTTTCTCCCTGTAGTGTTGTACGATAAATAACTCCCACTCGTCGTTTATTTCTTAAATAAAGCAGGCTTTCCCAAAATCTTGTCAACCACGAATCTAATTTAATTCTACCAACGCTGTATGTCTGGAAAATTGGATATAACAGATTGATTCTTCATCTACCTCGCATTTCAGTTGCAATCTCATTATCCTTATTACTTTCAGCTGTTACCATCACTGCTTCGGATTCTGTCTTCGAGGAGGGCACACTAGCTATGATCAACCTCACCTGTGCATTTCCATCTGGGTCGAGTAGTTTGACATTTTCTGTTGTGCCTTCAGACGGCACTGCTGTAGCAGGTGTGGATTATACCTTCTCAGCGACGCAATACACTTGTACTTTTGGTGCCAGCATCGTGTCTGTTATAATACCACTGACTGATGACACCGTGAGTATTATTATTCAACCTTTAAGATATTTCTTGTGCCTCATCTTATTTTTAAATATAAAATTTCAAGGCCGGAGAATACTCAGTCTCGAGTATCCGCCGAAACAGATTCCATTCGGGGCAAAATAGCAGTGAACATGATTTGCATGGATCTCTGTGACGACACCTGACGCTCGCGGAAAAGAACCAGCATGTCCTGTCCCTCTGTAGTCAGGCGAGTCACTCTTGCATGTTTGGAAAGAGAAGCTTCGAGAATTGACATGATCAAGCTTTGGAAAAATTGACATGATCAACACTAAGCTTTTTCGAAACACCAGAATTATATCTTAAGACAGAAGGTACTTAGGTGAGGACGGAGTCTCACGTAACAAATAAAGTATTATTTTAAATGTAATTTAAAATGAACACGAAAAAATGCGGCCACAGTCCATTCAATTATTCTCACCAAATGCATTTTACTCTGGTTCCAGGAACGTACTTCTGACAAGACGTTTAGCCTCAGTGTGGACACAGGGTTTTCAGTAGCAGGAGACGTAGTTGTTCCCGTCACAATACTTGAAAACGGTAAGTGTACAAATTGTGGCTTACATTGTATGAGAGCAGTTGTTATGGAAGTGAGAAAATGGTACTCCTGTTTCTGTATTGGCACAAAATGACCTTGGACCTTTTTATTATAGATGTCTGTTCAGCTAAGGTAATTGATTTGAAGCGATGCAAGCACTATACATGGAATATGTTATGAGTACATATTTCATGTTATATGTTCAGGCTAATGTGCTTTGATAATTATGTATCTTCAACTTCAACATCTGAATCCCTTACATCACACAGACCCCTAACATCACATAGATGACCACATTCAAATCATTAAGAGTCTACGAAACATTGCAATCCCTTACATCACATAGATGACCACATTCAAATCAGTAAGCGTCTATGCCACATTGCAATCCCTACCATCACATCGATAACCACGTCAAACCAGCCACCGTATCCAGGATATTAAATATGGTTGAATCTCTATGATGTGAGCTTTACTTTCAGATCCGCTGTGTAACCCTCCTTGTCAGCATGGGGGAGTCTGCGCCGTGTCAGGATGCATGTGTCCGGATGGTTACACTGGGAGCCATTGTGAATCAAAGGGTAAGTATGTTTCAGACTGTAAGTAGCATAAAGGCATCAATCAGTTGGTCATGGGGTATTAGTTATGGCTATGTTCATCCCTAATTTCAAACTAATTTTGTCGTATAATTGCCATCACTATTTTCTCTTTTACACCCAGTGCAGTCTGTTTCGGCGGAAAATTGAGACTCATAATTCTATGTCTTTGACCTCAATCGTGCAATCAGCTCTGCTTGTAGCAGAAATTTCTTATGATTATGAAAAGTGCCACTTTCATACAATAACTATTTTTTATGTCAAGATATGTTTAATCTAAATTGGTGTTTTGTTTTGTTTCCTTAAATATTTATTTTTGCACCGTGCGGGTTGGACAATATTTAATGTGCCTGTAGTAGACACATTTGCTGTGTTCATATCTGATTAAAAAACTGTGCTTTACGCTAAATACTCATAAGGCAATGCGAGGCGAGGGAGAGTCTTGCTATCAAATCGTTTCAGTGCACAGTTTTAGATTAAATTAATGAGATTAATTCATAAGTTTTTTTCCAATCTCATTAAAATCACATCTTAGTTCTTGCTATCACTAAACAAAGATCTGAGGACATCCCATTACGGGTCATGTCAGAACGACCTTTCATCCGACTAATCAAAGCGTCGCTTACCAGATCATGAAAGTGACGGTCAGAATGTTGTCTAATCATGCAACCTCAAACGTTAACCTCGAACGACAGTTACGGCCGTACGACTGATTCCGTCAAAACTATCGTCTATCTCTCGCTTCCGTGGAAGCACTGCCATACAATCTCAACCATATATTAGACGCTCCGGAATGTTCGTTTGTTCAGTTTTCAAAATTTTAATCGAGAACCGTGTCAACTTATTTTTCAAGCGTAGTCTGAAATGGAAGTTGTCAGGTTGAAACGACTGCCGTAAAGCTCGAGAAAGCTGCTTTCTTATTGACTGATGTCGACTTTTTGTTAGTCATTTCAGTGGTCGCAAAAGGTCGTTCTGACGTGACCCGTAATGGGGTGTCCTCAGATCTTTGTTTAGCGTCAGCGTGAACTCAGATCTGATTTTAATGAGATTGTAAGTTTTTCCCAGTTCGTGTACCCCACATTTACATACATCTCTCTATTTAGATTGCTGATTCTCGAATTGCCGTCCAGTACATGCAGGCAGTCAATGCGGTGTTTCTAAAACATCATGTTGTTGTCACGAAACTTCGTCGTTTTCATGTGTGTAACAGGACCAATAAAAGCTTACAAACAAACTGTTTGAATGATGATGTTGAATAGTACAGGTGAGGTGACGTGTGTCTGACTTGTATCAGTCCAGGCTAATGCCCGGTTTATAGTGCTAGCCCACAATGATAGAACCTTTAGAACCGACAAGTGTTTGTTCTATCCCTTCAGTGCCGATCTCCAGGCAGGGTAACAACAAGTATGACGCGGCAGGATTCGTATCGGGGAGACTTTCTATACACTGGACCATGCAATACACCACGGAGAATAATGTAGGATTTCACATGACGGGAACATTGTGTTCGCTTCCTCCTTTCATAAAAATAAAATAGTGCTCAGACACTGTAACTCACGACTTTTAAATCTCACATTTCCGCTGTGGGTCACCTGCTGACGTTAGGTCGGGCTGTCAGCTGTCCGGCTCAGTGTCTTGATTACATGTCATCGAACCCCGACGGTGTGGTACTTTGCTCGCAATATCAATCACTGGTTTGTCTGGCGATACAGACGTATTATAGGTTACGTATTAATATGTAGCGTGAAAGATCTAAGAAGACACAACTCAGGTTCTAGTCAGGACTATAAAAATGTATATTCACTGTGCAATATTCTACCTATAACTCGCCAGACAAACCAGTGACTGACATTATGAGTCCCACGCCGTCGGGGTGCGATGATCAGCCTTGTCAATGAGCCCGACAGTAGTAGGGGCCAGTAGTATGGTGACTTGGGTGAGTCAGACAGTTACTAGGTTTCACAATACATGGAAACCTTTCTTACGAAACATGAGTGATACATGATATTTTATTTGAAGTTAATATTTATGTTTATGTACTTATTTCTTTGAATTTTCGAATCCAGAGGCCTCCTCCGACCAGTATGGGTCTTATTCATTCTCATTTCGCTTGTTAGCATCCAGAATCGGGTCAATTCCATGCATACGGAACTCCGACATCCACGGGGAGTTGTCTTCATACATATGTCACGAATCGACATTTCTCAAAATAAATAGATTCATATTTTTCAATATATATTACCTGATTTAGATGGGTTGGGCAATAGATCAAGATATCGAGACTTTTGTGCCACACATACTTTGGCTTGTTATACCGTTTCGGCGGTAGACGGATATATAGAGCAGGCCGAGCGAGAGTTCCCCATATTAACATTTTCCACCAGGATTCCAACAAGAAACTAACGATACTTCCGTGTATTGGTTCAATAAGTAGTAGTTCGCTATTTGGTACTGCTACAGTCGAGGATGTTGAACGACTGGCGCAGTATGTTAAACAATTGTTGTTGCATGCTGCTAATACTTCACGTGCTTTTCAATCGCAAGTTCGTCAGATGTCGTCATTTGTGACTAAAACAAATAAACGCACTTCATCCGCTCTCGTGAGTTTTCAAACAAACCATAACGATATCAAACTAGTCACTGCACAAATACAAGATGTGAAAAGATTTATTTTTCTTATGATGAAAATCTTGTTAGATCGCCTCACGTTCCTAACTACAATTAGACAAGAAATTGATAAAATGTATTTGGGCATTCAACAGGAAGTTAATCAACGATTGAGTCCATCTTTACTCGCAGTTTCGGAAGTAAAGAAAGCATTACAAATGATTCAAAAACGTCTCAATGCAGAATACCCGTTGTATCACGTTGCAAATAAGGATCCAGGTTATTATCCCCCCGGTATATAATGCGGGGGGATATAGCGATCAGCCAGTCTGTCTGTCCGTCCGTCCGTCCGTCCGACCGTAATCATTTCCTTTTCCGGGGCAGAATTCGAAAACCATTCAGTGTATTTAATTGAAAATTGGCAAACATACCGAAGTGGTGCCTTTTGATATTTGGGGATTTTTCTAATTTTTATTTTTTTAAATTTTTATGGAATGAAGTTGGACATAGACTCAATTGGAGATGAGGTTCGTTTCCGGGGCAGAATTAAAAAACCATTGAGTGTATTTGATCGAAACTTGGCAAGGCTATCAGGCACATACTGAAGTGGTGCCTTTTCATATTTGGGGATTTTTCTAATTTTTATTTTTATAAATTTTTATGGAATGAAGTTGGACATAGACTCAATTGGAGATGGGGTTCGTTTCCGGGGCAGAATTAAAAAACCATTGAGTGTATTTGATCGAAACTTGGCAAGGCTATCAGGCACATACTGAAGTGGTGCCTTTTGATATTTGGGGATTTTTCTAAAAGAAATTATATTTTTTTTTTATAGAATGAAGTTGGACATAGACTCAATTGGGGATGGGGTTCGTTTCCGGGGCAGAATTCGAAAACCATTGAGTGTATTGGATCGAAACTTGGCAAAGCTATCAGGCACATACTGACGTGGTGCCTTGTGATAAAAATCTTTTTACGAATTTTTATTTTTTAAAATTTTTATGGAATGAAGTTGGACATAGACTCAATTGGGGATGGGGTTCGTTTCCGGGGCAGAATTCGAAAACCATTGAGTGTATTGGATCGAAACTTGGCAAAGCTATCAGGCACATACTGACGTGGTGCCTTTTCATAAAAATCTTTTTACGAATTTTTATTTTTTAAAATTTTTATGGAATGAAGTTGGACATAGACTCAATTGGGGATGGGGTTCGTTTCCGGGGCAGAATTCGAAAACCATTGAGTGTATTGGATCGAAACTTGGCAAAGCTATCAGGCACATACTGACGTGGTGCCTTTTCATAAAAATCTTTTTACGAATTTTTATTTTTTAAAATTTTTATGGAATGAAGTTGGACATAGACTCAATTGGGGATGGGGTTCGTTTCCGGGGCAGAATTAAAAAAACCATTGAGTGTATTTGATCGAAACTTGGCAAGGCTATCAGGCACATACTGAAGTGGTGCCTTTTCATATTTGGGGATTTTTCTAATTTTTATTTTTTTAAATTTTTATGGAATGAAGTTGGACATAGACTCAATTGGAGATGGGGTTCGTTTCCGGGGCAGAATTAAAAAAACCATTGAGTGTATTTGATCGAAACTTGGCAAAGCTATCAGGCACATACTGACGTGGTGCCTCTTGATAAAAATCTTTTTACGAATTTTTATTTTTTACAATTATTTTGGAAAGAAGTTGGACATAGACTCCATTGGGGAACGGGTTCATTTCCGTTTTACGAATTTTTATTTTTTAGAATTATTATGGAAAGAAGTTGGACATAGACTCCATTGGGGAACGGGTTCATTTCCGGGTCAGAATTCGAAAACCATTCAGTGGGTAAACAATGTATGCTTCTTAAATTAAAGAACGTTCAACTGTTGACTCATTACATACAGAATTGCACATTTACTGGTGGTTACCTTACAGACAGCTGCCGGGGGGATATGTCATCTTTCTGATGACTCTTGTTATTATCGGGAACGCACTGTTCACTGTTCTCGGAAATCAAATTCAATATTAATTTCGCTTATTGTTCCCATCCAGACTCATTCTACTCTCCTTGATGTATATCGAATAAATTCTTTTGACTCACCACTTAATCAATCAAGTATGCATGTTACTCAGGTTATGAAATTACCAGATTATCTTGCTGTTTCGGAGGCTAAAGATCAGTATATTGAATTTTCGGCTAGGGACTTTCAAACATGTTATGGTGAACACGAAAAACACTGTCCAATTTTTAATAGTCCGAAACCAAAAACATCGCTCACATGCGCACTTGCTTTGTTTACTCAAGACACAAAAGAAATTTGAATCCTTGTGTGCTACTAAATTCCGGTTAAATGGGCTATGTTCAATGGCCCTCGAAATCAAACCAGGCACAATTCTTTTAACTGGCATAAAAAAAACAACAACATAATACTAACGTGCAAGGGTCGCATTGAGAAGCGTCCAGCTTGTCAGTTTTGTATATTTAAAATTCCTTGTCACTGTGCATTGACACTGGATGAATTCGACATAGACATGAGAATTCATAATTGTGAGAGAAAGACTGCTTCAAAATTACATTCACCTAATCTCTTACTTCTATCGAATTTTTTTAATGCATCCAAACATTGAAAGTTTACAGCCTCTTCTTGAGGATTCCGCTTTTAAGATCCCACATTTATTAATTGATGATAATTATTTTGATGAAATTCGTAGAAAGGGCCGAATTTCATGTTGATTTACGCCTTATTTCACAACGTATGATAAGGCGCAGGTCATTTCGGATAATTTAATTGATGGTAATTGGGCGGGGATTCCCTTCCACCATGCGCTTAACGGCAAGCACAGCCGCGGGTTTATCCCTATTTCTTTTAATAATCGTTCTTTTCCTATGGCTTAAAGTTCGACGCTTATGTTTTGCATTGACCTTACTTACGGCAGGCTCCCCAACTGACGGTTTGACGATTTGGAAGACACCTCAAACTACACCCTCTCCAAATTATCCCCTCCTAGATTTATGTTTCCATGGATGTGTTTTTTTCTGATCATTTCGACATATCATTTCTAGTATTTATTTGCTTTTTCGAGGAATAAAAAAAGTCAATCGACCAGTTACGTCATTGGTGTTACATTTGACAAATTCCTTTGCTTGTCATGAAATTATGGTTTCACAATTCTATCTTTGTCCCCGAGACCTCACATTAACTGGCTGGAGGCGTTTCGTTTAAAACGATTCCTTCCTTCAACGACATGTGTTTTTATACTCAAAAACCCTTAGACCCGAGAACGTCCAGTTCATTTGTGGCAAAAATTACAGACAATGAAAATTGTTGTTTAGGCGCGCACAAAAGGCCGACTAATTTATTACAAGGTATATATAAACGCCTAAGCGTTACAATTCGCCAATCCGAAATTGTATGAATAAGCCACAAAGGTGGGGGAATCGACGCCACAATAGTGGAACACTATGCCCACTGCCGACGACGGTCTCGGGACGAGTTTTAGTAACGTATCAATAAAAAATTAAAGCAGCTTCCCCCTCCCTTACTCTATGCACGAAATATGATATATGAAAGCTATTAAATTACGTATGGAATATTTGTGAAAGTTTATTGTTCACTGCCTTACAAGGCCCGCG